GTGACCATTGCCATATGCTGTGCCTCCCATGGGAGGAGAGTACTTCCCCGCCTCATTGACTCCAGGCTGTCCATGTGGCCTGCTTCGGTCAAAAGAATGTGAGCAGCAGTGCCGGGTGCCGGCTCTACCATTGCTCTTTTCCGTCCACATGCAACTGAGACAGGTTCCACTGTTGGCCTGGATTCCAAAGTGAGAAAGATGTGGAGGAAGGCCAACACCGACCCGCAACCTTAATATATGCCAGTAAGGATATAAAAGTTTGTTGTTGTAAGCCATTGGGATTTGGGGGTCATTTGTCACTGCTGCTCCACCTCGTGAAAACTGACCACACCAGTTATGACACTGGGATTTGAATCCTGGCATGCTGGCACCAGGCCAACCCAATCTGGGAACTGAAGGTTTCATATTCCACTGCCTACTGCCCTTTGCCACCTAGATGACTACAGGCATCGCAAACTCAGAATTTTGGGGGAAGTCCTCATTCCCTCGATTAAGCGGGCTCCTTGGCCTGCATTCTGGATCCTATATTTTAGTTGGTGACACCACAGCCTACCCATTCGCTCATACTGGAAACCTGGGACACATCCTAGATGCTAACTTCTTTGCTTTGCAGAACCAATCAATTAACTGGTCCTGCTCACTTCACTTCCTATGCAGATATTTCTCACACCAACTGCATTCTTTGCCTTCCCACCACCATTGCCTTTGTTTAGACTGTCAACATCTTTCACTTGAATTAGAGCCTCCAGTAGCTCTCCCTCCTTCTGATCTATGGCTCCTCAAAGTCCATCCCCTAGAGCAATCATACACACACATACACACACACACACACACACACACACACACACACACACACACACACACACAATCCATGTCACCCCAGATTTAAAACCTATCAGTGCCTACCTATCACCTGCAGAATAAAGTCCAAAACCCCACACAGGGTCTCCATGCTGTGGCCCCTGCCTACCTCTATAACTTCATCCCATCACCCCTACCACATACTCCATGCTTCAGCAATACCAAGCCATGCATTTTTCTTCTACACACACCATGTGATTTCTCTCCTACATCCCTTGCTCATTTTCTTCTGTTTGGAATGCCCTCCCAGACCAAGGACTTAGGCATCCTAGGAGCACTTAAAGGGACAACTCGAAAGGAACACAGAGGAAGTTTGCATGTGTAAATAAGACCCAATTAATTTTCAACAGTAGGCCAATGCCTGACATCAGGCGGCAACATTCGCCAATTTCTAAATCCAGTAGGAAAAAAAATATCCCTTTCGATGTGAGAATTTCAATTTCCCCAGGAAACACAGTTAATAAGTCCATTGAGGAGAGTCTGATCGTGAAATTAAAGGTGCACGCACACTTCAATCAAGTGTATTCTGGTTTCCTTTGAACATTCCCTGAACTACTCCCACTCTTCAGCGTTGGTGTTTGAATGACCAGCGCTGGGTGAACAGTAGCTGGGACCAGCTGCTCCTCAAGTTGCTAAAAATCCTCTGCTTTTCTTGGAGTGCAAATCTGTACCAGGGAAGCAAGGCCACCCACTGACAACTCCCTGATGTGAACCAGTGACTGTGACCAGAGATGGTGGCGTGGTAGGAATCCAAATAACCGAAAATTCCTAGACAATAACTTGTCAGTAATGGGTTTCTCCATCCTTGAAAGAGCATCAAGGATGAGCAAGTGCATGGCTGCCCTTTGGAGAGAGCTGGAGAGATGAAAGAGAGATGAAGTGAGTGGCGAATCCATTTCTAAATGAAAGGACCTGGGAGGTCTCAAAGCTTCAGAAATCTACCCACCTTCCTGGGCCAGGCCCTGTGATGGTAGCATGCATTTCTACAGCTCTTCTACTCAAAGAAGGAAACAGGTGTCAGGCAAAGATCCACTCTTTCCTGTCTGGACCCCCTAAGTGCCATAGTTCTAGTAACCAGGAGAGCCCATGGTGGGTGGCTTTCTTTCTTCCATTGAGTGGAAATGTTTTCCATTAAGAGCTATATATTCTCCAGCCAGGCAGA